AAAAACTGTTAAAAATTGTTTTAACATGCAATTGGGGAAAAACAAAATATATTAAATTTCAAAAAAAAAAGAGAGGTTGGTATAATTTTCAGTGAATCAAGTATGTTTGCAGTGACAGCTAGCTTTTCCAAATAGTCTAGAGTAAAATTTTAAATAGTTTCAGATTTTTAAAAAATGGACCATAAAGTAAAATTGCACTTTGAAAAATACCAACCAAAAAGACAGTGTGTCTTCAACCACAGCCAGAAATAAAAGAAATAAAGTAGCGTTCGCCTGATAAGTTCACCTGATAACTAGAAGGCTGGCAACTGCCTCAAAAATAAAGTGTGATGATTCAAAGGAATCAAAAAAAAAGACTTTAATTCAAATACTTGTTGATTGATAGAAGACAAATGTCAAGTTGATCTGGAGTTGGAAATGGGTTCATAATCTCAATCAATCTTAGTTTCACTAATAAATATTTTTTTCTTTTTTTAGGCTAACTTTACCATTTACTGCTTACCATGAGTGACATGAATCAATGTATTACATAAACATGTACATTCGCTTATGTGAAACTAACAGAAAATTTTGCTTTCTATCACTATGACACACATTGTATCCTGAGTAGGCCCTGGAGAAGATTAGGAAAGAGGCTTCCTTGCTATAAGAAGAGTTATTGTGTTGTTACACCTTTTTATATTACTATTATTGCTTAGAAAGTAGTGAAAAATCAGTACTAATACTGATTTTTAGAAAACAAAAAATAATTTCCTATGATTTTTTAAATTTCCTAACATATAAAAAATTTGACATAATGTATGTATATATAAATATATATATATACATATTATACAGAATCAAGTGATCATAGAAATAGAATGAAAACCAACCTTAAAATTCTTGCTGTGGCATTTCGTCTTTTAACTCATGATTTATATAATTTCTTGCATTCTGTTGGGATTTCTAAAAAAATCTCATCATATAAAATCTGATACAAAGATATTATGAATGTAAGTGGTTTTTTAGTACTTAAAAAAAATACAAAGAAAGCTTTGAAAAGTAGGAGAAATATTTATATACAAAATCACAAGATTGAAGGAAGGACAACATACATTAAAAATGCATGATTATAGGAACATTCATTGGCAAAAATTGAACTGTTAACAAAACTTATAATGATGGTTCATTAAAAATATCAACAGAATACTTCTGTTCTCAACCTTTTATTAAAGTAAGCAAAATGAGCTATTGTAGAGGAGGAAAAAATTGAAATTTTTAAAAGATGTTTGAATTATGTTAATCCACAAGTATTTATAAACTATTTAGCAGTTTATATTTAGCAATAGTTCTTCATTTTACTCACATAGAAGCAAACTATAATGAATAAATTACAAATTTATAAACATAACACAGTATTCTTAAAATTTTTCTTTATAAACATAGCCCTACATGTTATCAATATGTCTACTTTTTCCTACTACTCCTAGATCATTATTTTAACAAATTTTTTAAATAAACTGCCATATTGCATGATGATCAACTGTGAATGACTTAGCTATTCTCAATTAAATGATCCAAGACAACTCTGAAGGATTTATGAAATATGCTATCCATCCCCAGAGAAAGAACTGGTGGAGTTGAATGGAGATCAAAGAATATTTTTTAAACTTTTTTTTAATTTGGTCTCTTTTTTCTTTCACAACGTGACTAATATAGAAATATATTTTGCATGATTGTACAAATATAACCTATATCAAATTGCTTGCCTTTTGATGGGGGGGGAGAAGGAGAGAATTTTGAAGTCAAAATTTTTTAAAAAGCCAAATGTTAAAAATTTGTTTTACATGTAATTGGGGGGAAAATAAAATACTAAATAAATATTTTTTAGAAATAAATTACCACCCACTTTGAGTCTTATTTTTTTCTTTGATTTATCACGCTTTTTAAAAAATGAATCTCATTGCTATAACTACTGCTACTAATAATAATTAGCATTTATATAGCGCTTAAGGATTGATTGCAAACCACCATATTTATATCATCTCATTGCTTTTATTTTTCCCTTTTTACAGATGATGACTGAAGATGAGATAGGTTTATTAGCTTACCCTGGGTCGCACAACTATTAAGTGTCTGGAGTAGGATTTGAACTTGTCTTCCTAACTCTGAGTCCAGCACTCCTATCCCCTCAGCCACCTAGCTACTGCTAAAAGTACTAACAGTCTACTGCCAGCTACTTCTCTAATACATTAATAGTGGAGTCTAAGGAATGTGATAATTCTCTACACATAATCTGTTAGATATAATACAATATTCCAAAGACTATAGCCTATAAACTAATAGACTATAAACTATTCATGTAGAATGTAAGATATGAAAATGTTGTTCCACCAATAATGTTTATGGTAATGGACATTGCTTTGGGTTAGTTGAAAAATATTTCTGATTAACAGATTAAAACTTTCCAATGTATAGAATATGCTTCCATACTATGTAAGAAATTTTATATTTTAATATTAATTTGAACTTCTTCACATAGTAATGAATTTTTACTAAGTCCATACCTCAATCTTAGTACAACAGCAACAACAAAAACCCTACTATTCACTGGTTTAGATAATATTGGACTATTAATTACATTCTAAATTTTATTGTTTTAAGTAAAATCTTAATATAATATATTTTATAGGATCCATGAGGTCAATATGTATTTGGAACAGTAAATAGATGTTCTCTCATTCAAGTATCAAAATAGATGTTATTACAAAACAGTGGGTGAGAAATAAACTTGACCCTAATGAATTAGGTGGTAGTTAATTACTAATTACTAGGAGAGATCACATTTGTGATCAAGAAGAAAAGCCACTAGATTTGAAGTCAGAATACTCCAGTTCAAATCTGAGCTCTGCCATTTACTGCCTGTAGGACTTTGGGCATATCCCTTGAGTTTCAAGTTTCTTCCTAAGCATCACAGGGATAGGGTAATACAGATGATTTTTATCTTTTTTCCTTTTTACCTTTTCAACTACAAATCTATTATGCTATAAAGAGTGTGCATGATCATAGGAAGTTGGAAGGGGCCTAAGAGTCCATCAAGTCCAAACTCTTCATTTTACAGATTAGGAAACTGTAACAGAGAGGTTAAATGACTAAGTTGTGGTCTGTCACACTGGGTGTAAGTGACATTCAGAATTTTAATAGAGGGTATCTGACTCCAGCCACTGCTGGATTTTTTTTTCTTTCCATTACACTATTGGATGAAGGAAGAAAGGGAGGAGGAAGAAGGGGAAGATAGATAATGTGAAGTCTATCTATCTGTCTTGAAACTATTAAAAATTTAGAACAAGATACTTAGTCTTATGGGGCCACTAGATGGTGAAGCCTGGAATCAAGAAGATTCCTCTTTCTGAGTACAAGTCTGGCCTTGGATACAGCTAGTTAGCTGTGTGACCCTGGGCAAGTCACTTAACCCTATTTGCCTCAGTTTCCTCATCTATAAAAATGAGCTGGAGAAGGAAATGGCAAACCACTCCAGTATCTTTGCCAAGAAAACCCCAAATGGGGTTGTGAAGAGTCAGACACCACTGAAAAGACTGAGCAACAACCACTTGGTCTTCTGCATAAGCATGTGGGTTGTATGTAAAAGAAGTCTGCAGAAGACAGCAGTAGGACAATCATGTAGCTTAAAGAAAACTTTCTTTCAACCAAGGAAGAATGGTAAGGATGGAATCACCCTTACTGTCAGATGAAAAAAGAACCAAATATTTTACTGACAAACCATCCATTATATTGCCCTGCTGGGAGATTTTTTACCTTATGCAAATAAACAGAGACTTTATATTTCCCTTACCATACTGACCAAATCTATTGAATATTTTTATGCTGTATTTTGGGCTACTACTCTTTTTCCATCCCATCCTAGCAAGCTTCTCAAATCACTCTCCATTCCTTGTGATGGGAAAAGGTAGTGAAAAAGGGAAACTTTTCTTTATCCCTTGAATTGTGTGTTGGCTTGTCCAAAGGAAGAAAACTTACTTTTCTATCTCTGACATCCCTATGAGGTCAGAAGTGATGGATCACACACACACACACACACACACACACACGAACAAACTACTACGTGAAGGTAGGAACCTCAAAGCTATATGCGGCCATATGTGGCATTTTGACTGAATCCAAATTTCACAGAACAAATTCCCTTAGTAAAAGGATTTGTTCTGTAAAACTACAACTCAGTCAAAAGACTGCACCCAAGGACCTAGAAGGCCACATGTGGCCTCAAAGCCCCAGGTTCTCCACCCCTGTTCTAATCCAATCATTCTCATTTTAAGAGTGAAGAAACTGGCCTAGGAAGGTTGTCATACAAGTAGCAAGAAACAGAAGCAGAAGTGAAACCCAGATCCTCTAACTCTAAAGGAAGTGTTCTTTCCATCATACCACGCTAACTGCAGCCTCAAGCAGCTTTTGGTCTTCTCCTCAATTTGTGCCCAGAGTGGACGTCTACTGTTACTGAGCTGCCTTAACTAGAGTTAAGTAAGCTAAGAGCCTTCAGAAAGTGGAAACCGCTGTTTTCCCATCATTATCCAAACATGCCAGTGCTCACTGAGTTAAAAACGCAGCTCAGGCTTTCACCCCCAGGCATCCATCCTCAGGTCCCAGCCCCAGCGGGACTGGAGAGGAAGGGAGGGAAGGAGGAAGAGAGAGTGGTCATCTCTAGTCCTTACTCCACCCCCCACTCCCGTCCTCTGGTCTTAACCTGCGGTCCTCATTCCGACCCTGGGACCCCCTGTCCCAATCTTGTTTTCTCACTCAAACTGCTTTAGTCCCACTCCAGCCATCTGTCAAAACTTTTTTCTTGCTCTTACTACTTCGGGGTGGTGGGGAAGGAAAGAAAGCGGTAGGGAGGAGGTAATGGAGAGGGGAAAGGGATTGACATGGCTTAACTGACCACCCAGCATGTTGTGGGTAGAAAGGAAAAGTTAAAGAAGAGGGTGAGAAGAGAGACAAGCAGGACTTACCACCGGAAGAGTGGAGACCTGGACAGAGTGAAAAGCGGAGATGCAGCTGCAGCCGCCCAGAGAAGCATTGTGACTGCAGCCAAGGCGCGGGCCGGTGGGTTTTGAGGGGTTGGGTGGGGGAAGTATTGGCCCTGGGCTCAATGAGTCTCTTTCTTTCTCCGATCATGGATGAATGCAACTACCCAGACTCTCAACTCTTATTACCAAACTGTAACTTCCAGGGACGGGTGTGTGTGTGTGTGTGTGTGTGTGTGTGTGTGTGTGTGTGTGTGTGTGTACCCAAGTGTATTGTACATGTGACAACTTGTTATATGCTCTATTAATAGATCAGAAGAAGAAAAAAATGTAACTCAAAAATCTTCCAAATAAGAGTAGTGAATCTTTTTATCTCTGAAAGGGCTAAGAAAGACAAGAAAGACAGTCTGAAACTGAAGTCAAAATTGAAGGTTTGAGAGGAAGGGGAAGTGGGGGAAATAAAGGTGTGGGAAGCAGAAAGAAGAGGTGTTGACTAATACTAGTGTTATATGATTTGTCTAATTAAGCCTGGATTTCTTCAGTCTAAATGGAAATCATCAGAAAATAAAGTACCCTGAATACCTGAACATAAAGTCCAAAAAAAATTACAATTTTTTAAAATGTCAATACAAATGAAAAGAAGCAGAAAAGAAAAAAAAACTAATTTCAATAGGATAAACTATAACCATCTCTTTTTACAGATGACAGTATCCACAAAAGGACTGATGGTAGGGGGAGAAATGAATGTAAATGTTTTCCTTGGAGAAGGAAAGGAAAAAAATATATATAGGTGTACACACACATCTACGTACATATATATATGTATATATAGAAAGTAGCTTAATGATATCAGCTTTTCTGAGAAGCAATTATGTATATGCACATCGAATTTTTTAAAATGAAAAGATAAGAAGTCAAACTATTCAGATTATGAAAAATTTCCAAAGAACTATCCTCATTTTAAAATAAATTTTAATTTTAAAAGTTCGCTTACCTATGTATCTCTTCATTCATTTTCTGGGTGACATCCATATCAATCTGGGTCATAGTCATATCAGTAGTAAAAGTTCCAGGTATTTCACATTGTCCACCTTCCTCTCCTGACCAACTGAAAAACTAGCGGTGTTGGTATCTGGACCCAAACAGCCATGAATAACTGCCAAAAAGAAGCTAAAGGGAGAAAAAGAAGGGAAGAGGAAAATTTACCACTCCTTTAATATAAAAAATAAATAAAAATAAAACTGCTTCAACTTTTAAGGCAGAGCAGCGTAATCTATTAATTGGTTACTATTAACATGCTGCTTTTTTTTTTACCTTAGTACATAGAAGTCTGATTGAGAGTGAGGAATGTTTTCAATGAAAGTAGAGTTATTTTAGCTGCAGACATGTTTACATTTCTGTGGTTTAGTCTATAACTTTCTCTTTTTCTAGCTTACGAATTCTGCTCCATGAAGCAAAGCCCTTAGCTCCCAGACATTCCAAAAAGTCTGCCAAAATAATAGAAAAAAAGAGAGAGGAAAAGCACACACACAGACCCCCAAGTCTAGGTCAAGATCAGAGTTGATTTTGAGTAGTGTGAATAGGCCTCCCTCTCCACTCTCTTTCCAGTTAAGAAAAATTTCAGGGCTCCATTTCCTGTTTGCAAGGGAAAAAAAATAAAGTGGGTCTCCATATTAACTTTTTTTCAGAATTCCTTTTCTAGGACTTATAATTCTAAAGAAACTTTTAACACTATAAATGCCAAATATCCTTGCTAATTTGAAATTCTACTGTGCCCTTTAGTTTAATAAACATTTCTTTAAAGACTAAGTAAAAAGCATTACACAGAATACTGAAGACACTGGAGGAAAAAAACCTTCCTTTTTCTAATCAAGGGTTCTTAACCTGTCTGTGGATAAATTTGAGGGGATCTATAAACATGGATACATCTTTATTTTCACTCATATCTAACTGAAAATTACCATTTCCTCCCATTGTTAATGCAGACAACAAATCACGGTAGGAATAACAAATCCTGTGACTTTGTCACAATAGAATCAGAATTTTTGTGACATTATAATTGAAAAACAATCAGATTCCAATGCGATATGTTGCTTTGTTGAAGACCACTTCAAAGTTTAATATTTTTGTTCAAATTAAGTAACAGCCTTAAAACTAATGTTTTAAAAAATAAAATTTAACTTAAATTTAACTATATTTTAGATTCAGTGTCCAGCTATATAGTGAGTTAATAAAGAATATGCATTACTATATCACAAATTTGTTTTTTTATAATTTTAAATAATTTCTTATAATTATATATCAATACATTTTTATAATTATGTATCAATATAATGTGTTTCCTTTGCAATCCTATGCATTTTATTTTACGGTACCAGACTGCTTAAAGAGAGCACGACACAGAAAAGATTAAATATGCCTACTTTAGTTGGAGAATCTCTGTCAATTTTGTAGTCCAGGTGAAATTACTTGAAAGAGTAGAAATAGCAGAGTGCTATGAAATGATGTGAATCTACAGCATCTTGGGAGTATATGGCAAAAAGATCTATTTTTGAATGACAAAAATAATAGCTACCTGGTAGGTAAAGTCAACAAATCAATAATCACTTACCACATGCCAGATAGGTGTTAACTAGACACCAGGGATACAAAGAAAAGCAAAACCAATCTCTATCCTCAAGGAATTTTTATTCTAATGAGGGAGACAACTATGTAGAACTATGTACATAGAAGATACACAAAAGTTAAACTGTACATAATCTCAGAGGGAAGATACTAGCATTAAAGTCAATTTGGAAAAGCTACTTGTGGAAGACAGGATTTGAACTTAACTAAAAGGAATCCAGGAGGTGGAAATGAAAGAGCATTCCAGGCATGGGGGTAACTAGTGAAAAGGCCCAAAGTTGGGAGATGAAGTGTCTTATTCAAGAAACAGTTTTTTTTTAAAAAGTGTTTCCAAGCCAATCAATATTTATCATTGTTGTTGTTCAGTTGTTTCAGTTGTGTCCAACTTTTCATGATCCCATTTTGGGATTTTCTTGGCAAAGATACTGGAGTGGTTTGCCATTTCTTTCTCAAGCTCATTTTACAGTTGAGGAAACTGAGGCAAACAGGGCTAAGTGACTTACCCAGGGTCATTGAACCCAGGAAGTTGAGCTCATCCACTGCACCAAGCACCTACTAAGTGCCAGGTACTGGCTTAAGTGCTAGGGATGCAAAAAGAGGTAAAAGACAGTCCCTGTTCTCAAGAAGGAGACAACATGAAAACAAAATAAATGCAAAGTAAGCTATATACAGGATAGATAGCAAATAATTAAGAGAGGGAAGGCACTGGAATTAAAAGGGTTAGGAAAGGCTTCCTATAGAGGATAAGATTTTAACTGGAACTTAAAAATGCCAAAGAGGTCAGTAGTTGGAGTGGAGGAGGGAGAGCATTCCAGAAATGGGAGACAGCCAGAGAAATAGTCCAGAGCTGAGAGATGGAGTATCTTGTTCACAGAAGAGCCAAGAAGCCAGTGTCATTGGATTAAAGAGGGAGTAAAGTGTAAAGACTGGAAAAATAGGAGGAAACTAGGTTATGAAAGGCGTTGGACGCCAAACAGAGAATTTTGTATTTGATACTAGTGGCAATAGGAAGTTACTGGAGTTTATTAAGTAAGGAAATGAGATGATCAGACCTGCACTTTAGGAAAATCACTTTAGTGGCTGAATGGAGAATGGATTAGAGTGGGGACAGAATTCAGACAGACAGACTCACCAGCAGGCTATTCCCCTAATCCAGGTGTGAAGTAACAGTGTCAGAGGAGAGAAAGAGACATATACAAAAGATGTTGCGAAGAAAAACTTGACAGGTCTTGGCAACAAATTGAATGTGGGGCTGGAGAGGTAGTGGGAGAGGGATTGGGGGAATGAGAAATAGTGAGGAATCCAGGATGATTCCTAGGTTGTAAGCCAGAGGGACTGGGAAGATGGTATTGCTCTCTATAATAATAATGTTGGAGGTGGAGGGTTCAGGGGGAAAGATAGGAAGTTCCATTTGGGGCATATTATACTTAAGATGTCTACTGGACAACCAGTTTGAGAAATCTGAAAGATGGTTAAAGATGTGAGATTAGAAGTCAGCAGAAAGTTTGGGGCAGGATAGGTAGATTTGAGAATCATTAGCAAAGAGATGATAATTAAATCCTGGGGATCTGATGAGATCACCAAGTGGAATAGTATATAGGGACAAGAGAAGAGGACCCAGGACAGAACCCCCTAAGGGACACCTATGATTAGAGAGTGTAATCTGATAGAAGATATAGGAAAGGAGACAGAGAAGGAGCAGTCAAATAGGTAAGAGGAGTACCAGGAGAGAGTAGTGTCCTGAAAACCTAGAGAGAAGAGATTATCAAGGAGAAGGTGATCAACAGTGTCAAAGGCTGCAGAGAGATCAAGAACAATGAGAACTGAGAAAAGACCATAAGATTTGGTAACTAAAAGATGATTAGTGACTTTGTAGAGAGCAGTTTGGTGGAATGATAAGGTCAAAAGCTAAATTATAAGTGGTTAAGAGAGTGAGGGGAAAGAATGTGACAGACCATCTGTTGAAGACAGCCCTCTGAGAAGTTTTGGTACAAAATGCTGAAGAGATAAAGGACAATGGTGGAGATGGAAGGTCAAGTGAATTTTTTTTTTTTGCAGGATTGGGGAGATGTGAGCATATTTGTAGGCAGTAGGAAACAAGTAGACAGGGAGAGACTGAAAATAAGTAATAGAGTGGGAATGATAGAGGGGGCAATCTGTTGGAAGAGATGGGATGGAATGGGATCACTTGAACAAGTAGAAAGGTTAGCCTTGGTAAGGAGTAAAGCCACTTCATCATGCCAGACGGGGTGAAGGAGGAGAAAGTGACAGAAAGCATCTGAGTAAGAGAGATGAGGAAGACAGGAGAATAGGAAGTTCATGATAAATGGCCTCAATTTTTTTCTGTAAAACATGTTCTCAGCTGAGAGAGTAGAGGGAAGGGGAGCCATGGAGGATGGAGGAGGGGTAATTAGGTTTGGAAGAGCAACTGTGGAGAGTTCCATAGTGAGCTGATAGGGTAGGTATAGTAGAATTGCCTAATGTCAGTGAGGGCCCAGTTGAGGTTGTGTAATATAAATGAATAGTAGATCCAGTCAGAAAAATTGCATAACTTTCTCCACTTTTGTTTAGCAGC